AATTCTCTCTCTAGGCTATCAGGTAATAGTAAGCACTTCGTATTAATTATTAGCGCCTAATAGAAAAACTTCTGCTGAACTGAACAAACTGTATACCTTATCCACGTCTCAGCTGCCATATTTCAGCTCTGTTCCCAGTCCAAATTTTTGCCATGTTTGTGTCATTATTGAAGAAAGAAGCATAGGCGATCTAGCAGGAAAAGGTAAACCTTTCCTGACCTCCCAGTCCTTACTGAATTTACAGTCACATGATCCTCCAACTTTCATTAGAAATAAATGAAAGAGAAAATAATAGAATTTTAATTAAAAAATAGAAGTTTAATACTTAGGCAGCACAAGAATTATGAAAAAATCCAGTATTGCCTTGTCAGCTGAAGAAGGGAAAAAGAAACATATTAGCTCCTTAAAAATAACTGTTTAAATAAATACAACCACATTGCATCATTATCCTTCTCTTTATGTATGTTTGATTCACTCTCCTCTTTAGTTTCGGTGTAAAGTATTAGTAGTTTAGGACAAAAAAGATAAATGTTTGGCAGCATTTGTTTAACATAATAGAAAAAATTAGTTTTAAAAAGTCCAATTTGACACTAGTGAGATGATTATTTTGGTAAACCTATTGCTGCCTGGATGTAGAATTCACTGTTGCTGGTTTTGTTTTTTTCTCTGTTGCACTGAAGTTATCTAGTTTCAGATACAATCTAGTAAGTGGAATATTTTTCAGTAGCTGAGGTTTTCCCACCTGTCTACCCTAAAACACCTGCAACATATGTTTGCATAACCCTGCAATGCTTTGTGGTTTGGGCCTTGAGAAATTCCCCCAGAGCTTTTTCCTTATAAACAGCTGAGCAATTCATTTCTCTAATGACGAGTGCTTTTCCCTTGGCATTGAGGCAATAGCATGTTCACTAAAATAAGTCTCATTTTTCATCAGACATATCGAAAACCTCTTTTCGTTCTTGTCTCTTATTCTGAATGTTCAGATTTAGTGCAAAATTGTATTTGTGTTTTCTCCTGTTAATAAAACTAAAAAGGGAGGAAAGAAAATACCTCAAGAAAGAAGAGCATTAAAGAGATCCCTCCACTTGCACCTGCATGTGAACTTTTAAAAATACTGTGTATTCAGGGGGTGAAATGTTAGGTATGTTGTAGAACAGCCTGCCTGTGACTTCTGTCACACACAAGTGTGCTTTGCTATATTCTGTCTATTCCGTGAGTAACGTGACATGCTATGTCCCCAGAGGCCAGGGAGAAAAAGGTGTTATAGCAGGGAATTTGAGCATATGGAGCATGATCCTTAGCTGGTGGGAACTGCTTTTCAGCAGTCTATGCAGGTTTAGGGAATCTCTGCTGTATTCAGTGCAATTCTGGTCACAGCAGCAGCCCCCAGCCTAGGAAAAGGGCAGGTGTGGGTATAACTTAGGTCGTGTTCCCGGAGGAAGATAAAGGCAAATAGAAAGTTCCCAAGAATCTCCTGCCAGCCATGGGAATTGGAGTGAGTCAGTCTGGTGGTGGCTGGGAAGAGACAGGAGGACAGGGAGAGGACTTCAAGAGGCAAATGAGCCAGAGGGAGGGCGTCTTTTAGGCCAGGAAGGGCTCAGAGGCAGGAGTGCCTCAGAGATACCTGAAACATTTTAAGGCATCTTCTCATTTTGGGCTGTGGCTAGTACATTTTGAAGAGACAGAGTCCAAAATCACATCAATTTCTATGTGTGCTTCTATACCTGAATTTCATACATTGTGCTTTTGAAGCGTAAATTGGGCATTTTCTACCAGTTGAAACTACAGTCACTAAATAGAAATTAGGATTAGAATTATAAATCCAGCAAACTGCTCCTACAAAACAGGCTTGGGGAAAAAGGGTTCTAGTACTGTCACAGACAGCTTTTCTCTATGATTTCTGCTCTCTCTGTCCTTAAAAGGGGAAAATCATATATGTGTTAATCTGTATAATGCCCTTACACAATTTCTTAGGGGGATTCAACAAACTACTAATTTGAAGGATTGATTTCACTGTCAATTTAACATTATCCTTTTTTTAAAAATTATTTTATTGAGGTACTAGCAAAAATACATAAATTGAAAAATGAAAGGAATAACTTTGCTTCCTTAAGTAATGAAAATACAAATCAGATCATTCTAAATTGTGCTCTGTCGGAAAAAAACAGTGGTTGCTGTGAATGTTTTAAACAACAGCTATGTTTTTTGTAAATAAATTTGTTTAGTCGTTAGTTCTAATACATGGAATATAATACAGGGTACATATCAAATTGGATGCTCAGAGAGAGGAGTTAGTTTAAAATTCTTAAGGAAGAAACACTGTAATTGTGTAGGTTTTCCTTTCCGCTTCTTGTATTTAACTTACTGAAATGATTGAAAAGAGTACAAAATTTAAAGGACAACCACAGTGAAATAAAGATCATAATCTCCATTAAACTATATTTTTTACTGTCTGAATTTCAATTTTCAGAAGTATTTACATTTTCTGTGGTGATATTTCATAGATATCTGCTAACATATATGTCTGGTTGGGTTTTTTTAAATACTGAAATTTTCCGAAAGGATATCTCTCTGGTGCTACAAAAGGAGTTGCACAGTAAACCTTGGCATTTACTGTCTTGCATTTCTAATGTTTTTTCAACAGCGTTTTTTCTGAGGGCTTTTTTTTTCACTGCATGTAATAGTACTTTAAACTGCTTCTTCCTTTGATATGGTTAAACCTCCCAGGAATTTAAATAGGCCCCTATGAAAGTAATGCTTCTCATTCATATGTTTGAGTTCGTTATTCCTATTAATGGCTTTAAGTGCTTAGAAAGTAGATCAGCCTTTCGTGTCTTGAATTGCTTGTCATTTCTGCGTAAATATGTTTCAAGATGCTGTTCCATATGATCTTTTCTTATTGTTTTTGCTTTTTTTTTTTTTTTTTAATTCAGGGGCAAAGTGTAATAATCTTTTTTATTATTTATTGGGTGGTTAAAAAGAAATTTCGGTGTCTTTGCTAACTTTCAATATATACCAGGTCGTTGGAAGCTAATTGCAAATCTGGCTAGCAACTAGTAGTGTGTATTTTTCAAAGGGCTGTCTTATGACTTAGAAGTGCCTGTTATTTTAACTGTCTCTTATTCTTCCACCTTGTTTTAAGAGGCCATCAAGACAAGTAAAGAAAAAAGTTACTTAATTTATAGGAGAAAAGTTACACTGTTTGATTACTCAGATAGTACTCGCAGAATCATCAGTTACCCTCATCACGTCAGTTTGGATTTGATTATCATAGAAATGTATTGAATTACCAAACCAGAGCAATAGTAACTAAAGCTGATTCATTGTTATTGCTGTCAGTTGATGAGGACTGACTTACAAGCTCTGTGAATAGGTAGAGTTATGCAAACATCGTTTTTATGACAGGAGACGAAAAATGTTGAATGGCCATTACAATGTGAGTGGTAGGATAGACGAGCATTTTTTTAATGCTTGTCTAATAGCTTTCAGTTGTTTCATTTTTTAATGAACATTACAAATAGCATGTGTGTTTGAAATGTTTATTATGGTTCCAAAGAAAGAAAATGAAACATTTCATACAAGATTAAGTCTAACTGCAGGAAGTGATCTGGAAATTCCCACCCTTAAATATGCCCCCAGAAATTTTCCTGGCCTTTGGTATCTACCACCCCTTTAAATCTTCTCTCCTTTTGTGCACATGCAATACTTTGGTCTTTAAAAGTCAACTGCTGCATCCTCCTCCAAAAATAAGGTTTTCAAAGAAAGAAGGTTATCTACCTGTATGTAGGTGATAGGATAAGACAGTGGATACTCCAGTCTATAAAAAAATCTGGAGAGGAAGTATATGTGTGCAGCTGTAGCAGCTGAAGACTGACTCTGTCAAAAATATAATATGCTGTCACCTGTGAGCAACTGTTTCAGGAAGGTCACTGCATAGTTCATTAAAACTCTATTTACTACTAGCAGGACTTAAGAAGGCAGATCAGAATATATGGCAACAGCCTATGAATGATTAAACCATTAGAGCAAATACTTGGAAAGTATTTAGATCTTTTTATACAGTATATCTGATCATTATGCAGAAACTTAACATTTTGTTTTCTCTTACACTAGAAATTATTTAGGCCATTTCTCTCTCTCTCTCTTTTTTTTTTTTTTTTTTTTGTTAAGGGCCTTTCTGTACCTCTCAGTTATTTTGTTTCCATCTGTATGCAAATTTTTTTACTTGAAAATATTTCCTTGCGTCTCCAAGTAGTGTTCTTCAGGATGCATGCATTCAATCAAGATACTTTATGCATATACTGTGGTCTACACTTAATCAGTGTTCAGAACTATTGAAGGCAGCATGAGTCCATGAAAGAGTTCCATTGTGTCAGAACGGGAGAATAGCAATGGTTTCAGTATTAATTGTCTACATTTTGTTATAGGACAACAGTTCTTTATTCATGGCCTCAGTTTTGACTAGGGTGAAATTTGGAGAGAAAATAAAGGCTCTGTGTGCCATCTAGTGGGAGTGTTTGGTTTGTCTCACTAAATGTAATTCTTTGCTTAACAGAGATACTGCTAGTGATGTATTAAGTTCAAAATGTTTGCTATAGTTTCTCTTTACTGCTTTTTTTAAAAACATATCACTTTAGCTCGGAGGTGGTAAAATTCTATATACCTAAGCTGCAGGAAGAAATCAGATCAGTATCTATACTTATCCAAGAATAATTGATTTAATTAGCAATGTTACCACTACAGCCACCAGCCTCATCGCTGTGGAAGAACACTTAATTTCTGTGAGCATGGAATGGACTTACTGGTAACCATTGGTATTATTTCAAGTATTTGAAGTCTTCACTTCAATGTAAATGACATTACTGCCTTGAGAAACCAAAATCCTGGGAAAAGAAAATGTTCTTAAGTTTGTAGCATTCATTAGTAAACATATTTCATGTCTCTGCTTTAAATCTCCCTGTAAGTTGCAATGAGGTTGTTTTTGGTGTTTTTTTTTTTAGCGAAATCCAAGACCAGTGACTCATCAGTTCCAACAAAATTTAGATTATTACAAAGCACGTGGAGCAGACTTGATGAACAAAACACGGTAAGCTATTTCTAAATATGTGTTCACCGAACTAAGACCTTACATAAACAAAATGTTTCAGCAGTCACGTTTATCCCAAACAGGAATTACATAAGCAGTATTAGAAGCACATGTGTCTATTTCATGACATTTATTTTGAATCTGTCCCTTGCCTATTACTGAGTGAAAAAATTAAAGTTTGACAGATAGTGTTGCAGTCACTCACTGGCGTTTTTTAAGGCTAAGGACATTCACAAGCAATGGCATGTGAAGGAAAGCAGGGGGTAAAATGTTGCAGTGTGAGTTCTGTAGCTGAACTAGTCCTAATAATGCATCTAATCACAATCTGGAGTATCCACGTACCAGAAGCTGTCAAAGTTAAGTTGAATTAATGTAAATCCAGCTTGAAGTAATTTTTACAAAACTTTTCCTCCCTTCCTTTAGAAATGGTTTATATCAATAATGCTAAAAATTCTTGTCAAGACCATATCACCTGGATGGCCAATTGCTGATGGCTGGTGGTTGCTGGTGGCTGCAGGGCAAGCCAGCACAAGACCCAATGCTTCAACTCAAACTGCTGTCACAGGCAGTTTCTTGGATTGCATGTGGCCCCACCCATATCCTGTGCCTGCTGATTCATGGGAACTTGCTGGCTTTTGGATCTTTGCATCTCCATCACATTCTATTTAAATGCACTACATTAAAAGCCAGATAAAATTAAAATGGATTAGATTGAAAATCTTTTAAAAATGGACAAAGGCACAGAAATTAAAGCTGAGTAGTGTGACTGCAAAAGCATCTTTTTCTTCTAAATCAGGCTTTAAAGTTGGGGACAAGTGTCAAAAATTACTGCATTCTATTGCATTTTCATATTTTACATGTTTAATCTTTTGAAGAATTCTCTCAAAAGTTACTTAAACTGGAAGAATAAGTTGTTTGAAGATTCAAAAAGAAATGTTTCAAGGATTTTGAAAAAATAATTAAATCCTAAAGCCTAAACAGGAATGACACCTGTTGGAAACCTAAATTCTAAGGAAAAAATGTCAGTTAAATCTATGTAGAAATACAAATTAATTGTACACATATACACAGAATTCTCACCAAAGGAGATGCAATGTTATTGATAAATCAGAATTCCTGAGTCACAGAATATTCTGAGTTGGAAGGGACCCACCACAAGGATCACCAAATCCAACTGTTACGTGATTGGTCCCTGAGGGGATCAAAACTGTGACCTTGGTGTTATTAGCACCATACTCTAACCAACTGAGCTAATCTCAGGGTTGTTTGAGAATAGTTCAGACAAAATAACAGCTGGGATAAATTTATCTCAAAACAGGAAAACATTTAGAGTAGATCAAATGTGGTAAATCTGTTAAAAATTGGACTAAAGAGACAACTGGAAGATGTAAAATCAGGAAATGTTTCTGCAGTGAGCAGAGATGGATTAAATCAACTACCACATCTTTTTCATCTTCAATTCCACAGGCTCAATGGTATGTTTAAAATATCTTGGTAAATCTCTAACATATATTGCTTATTTTATCACATATAAAACTTTTTAATCGGTCATATTCATATATTTGTCTCTCATCTCTCATAATGATTACTTACTGAAAAGAGAAATGCCTTTGAATAAGGCTTCCTTAAAACAAAGCATTTCCATCTTAGCAGAAAACTGCAGAGATTGAATCATCTTCCTACTGCTAGTTTAAAAATACACCATTCACAGTCAAGGTCAATGATGCTTATTGTGATGAAACAAAATTGTTTGCTTCATAGATGGAATTCACGTCTCCTTGATACTCGTATTTTTAAACTGATGCCTTACTTTTAAATGCATCTGCTGATAGCTCTACAACATAATCAATCAGTATTTTTCTTGTAATTGTTGTGCATGTCTGGTACATTTAGATGGCTAAAATGTAGACATTGATCCATGTTTAATGGCTGTAATCATCCTTTGCATTAATATATCAGACATTTAGATGTAAGAAATAGGCACATTGTTCTTACTTTCCTGAACTTGTCTCAGTTTAACGTAACTTCTCCAGAGATGTGGCCCCGCACTATTGTTCATTTTCTGAAGCTGTGATTCAGAGAAATTGCACAGATTTTACTTTACAATATATTTATTAAAACCGCCTCTTGAGAAGGTATTTAGATAGCATCATTATTTATTTTTCATGTATTTGTATGTGTTCTGAGTTGATCATTAGCAGTGTCAGTTCATAGCACAGCCAAATCACACCACAGCTATTAGGAGCTGCAATAACTATCCTTTCTAGTTATCAAGTAATTATAAAAAATGCTTGCATGGTACTGTTGAAAGCATTTTTTAAAATCATGTGTCAGATACAACAGCTTAGAGAGTTTTGATGTTCGTTATTCCTATAAAGTGAAGTTTCTCAAAAAGTCTCTTTCCAACCATCTGAAAAAATGCAAATAAAGTAACTTGTCATGGTGTACACGTGTGTCAAAGCAGCAAATTAAGCACTGTTGAAGGAAAACTGCAACTTTTTATTAAGCAAAATATAGCTGGGGAAAAAAAAGAAACGAGAAAGAAACAAGCTGGTGGACACAAATACACAAGCTTCTTCATAAGCTTTGTCTCCTGTATCTGTGGACCACCATGAGTCCAATGGTGAAGTTAGCTCAAAGTGTACAGTGGCTTTGTTGCTTGGGTAGCCAGTCAGAGAAAATTATTTACTTTTAGTAAATATAATTTCTTGTGCAGAGTCAGGGGTTTTTTAGTGATTCTCAAGGTTCTAGAGGTAGAGACAACACAAACCTAGGACTCTGTGCAAGCCATTATGTTCCTTACAAGGTGATGTTTCAGGAGAGTGAGTGATACATACCACCCCAATCTCCAATCTTGGTGATTGGTTTCAGTAGACTGAGAGAAAAAATGCCAAATACACTGAAGTTTGGATTCTGAATCTCAACCAAGTCATTGCTGGTATGACCCCCAAAATCAGTGATGTAATTAGATTTATTGCAACTGTTGATAACTAATTGATATCTGCTAAGCCAGAATTTGATATTTTGTCTTCCACCTTCAAAGCCTCAATAGTTTTCTTTCTTGAATAGAGAAGACATTAAACAAAAGGCCCTGTGCTGACTCTTCTGATGCCACATATATGAAATGGAATAGAAAAAACTCCCTTTTTTTTCTTTTTTAACTAAAGTGTCTGAGCAATATTTTGGGGAACTGATAAATAACTGAATCTGCTGTGTAGTAACAGAGTAAAATTTAAGTGTAACAAACATTTAACCATGCCCTCTTCTTTAAAATCATTAGCACTATTTTTATGACCTGCCCCTGAAGGTGGGATAACTGAGGTTCTTCTTAATAGATCCCTTGGGGCAGATTGGAGTTGAATGACAGTAGATAGACCAGTAGATAGATAGATAGATAGATAGATAGATAGATAGATAGATAGATAGATAGATAGATAGATAGATATTTGATTGCAATGGAAAGGAGGTACATAGGTGTTTGGGTTATTGTCTATAGAAATGCAACAATATAAAAGTATAAAGATATCACTTGAGAAAATATATATAAGGAAAAGAAAGAGAAAGAAAGGATAACTAACTAGCAGAGAGGAAAGATATCACCACCCATGGATCCAGCAACAAGACTTGATTGATGCAATTGCAATGCCTGTTGGTTGAGAAGGTCACAGTCTTGATCCATCAGGGCAGGGGAATCCCCATGAAACACAAAGTTCAATGGATTAATATATGTTCAGGTTCAGGTGGAAACACCCAGGCATCTCCCCTAGGCGGGGGAAGTTTTACACTGTCTGTTGCAACGCTGTGGATCATGCTTAGCTGTCTGATGGAAGGCCCCAGACATTAATTTGGGGGTGCTTTGGGGGTCTTTGATGGTTTATGACATGTTCTTAGACATTACAGCTACCTCTCACATCAGCATAGTTGAGCCAGTTATGCCCCATCAGAGGGAGTGAATTCCTTCAGGCTTATGTGTGAATCACCTGTGGTGGGAGGGATGAGCCAGTTGTGTAAAGGAGGAAACTGGAATGATAAAAAACATTATCCCACCTCCCCAAGATCTGCTTCTTATTGGCCATTCCCCTTACCTGGCTCAAAACCCAACTTGTTGTTAAACAAAGGTTGGTTTTGTCATGGTCATCCTCCAGTGGTGGATATGCACTCCTGCTGCACCTGGGCTGCTCTTATGCAGATCAGAGGTTTCACCACCACACACCCAAACCTCCCTCCTCCCCTTCGGCTGGGTGGTGCAAATCTTGGCCTAAGCAAAGAACTTGCTGCTATTGAAAATGGCCAATTGTTTGAGTCATTAACATTTCAGTCTCTCACAACTCTTCCGTTTGCTTTTGAAACCGTTTGGGCATCCTCAAGCGTATTTTATAGTTCTGCAGATGCTGTCTTTGTAATGACTTTGTCAGTCATTCTCAGGTGACTATAGGAAGACTTTTCAAAATACTGGCAGCAGTCAATAAAATGGGGAGACGGAGAAGCATTTTGTAATTATTATTCAGCAATCATTCCTTCTCAGCTTCCACAAATTGGGAAGTAACACTTGACCCCAGTCCCTGCACTGCTGGTCTTCCAAGAAAATGCCATGTACCATCTTTCTTCATCACCAATACATAGCAGAAATGCCCCGTACAGCTTGGGGCTGTATCTCCTGAGTGTGCAGGCTCAAATACTTCCTTCTGATATCTCTCCTATTCTGTCTATTCTGAGTATCTATTCTGAGTCTAAACAACTCAGCTGTTGTTATTTTCTGGATGTGCTTTATATGTGTGTGCGCATTTGTATTGTGTATTCCAAAAAAAAAATCTCTGGAGACAAATAGAGAAATTATATGAAAAGCAAAATCAAAATTACTTTTCCAGGTGCCTGCACAAGTTTCAAGTCACCCATATTAATTCATTTGTAGTTTATTTTTAGTTAAACTTCCCCAAAACATTGTAAAGCTATTTTTTTCCTCAGTACAGTAATTGAATTGGTTTTAATTACATTTCTTCACATTTTTAAAAGACAGCTATTTATATCATGGAAGTACAGATCATCAAAATAGAACCTCAAAAGTGAAAAGGTCTTTGTTATTCTGATATATTTCTGTGAAGGGTATTTCAAGCATTAATTATATAAAACAGGAAATTATTGCATGAACAAGTAGGAATGGCTTTGCTGGTCCATGGGTTATGCGAACACTTCTACTGGGAATTAGGAGGTTCTTTGCCTCTTTATTTTAGATTAAATGGTTCAACAGTTTCCTCATTCTTAATGTTGCATATAAGTGAAGTGAATTAAATAGCCACTGTAGTTAAAAATAAAATATAACAATGATAAGGATCATGATTCAGTATATGTGTTCTATCCTGAAGCAGTCCTTCAGCAAAATCACTTTAGAAATCAGGATTCCCGTGAAAAAGTGCTTGGCTTGAAATGACTGGGCTGGGCAAAAAGGTGAACTAAGAGCACGAGACATCTAGCTCTGCCAACCTAAAAGTACTGTCTAGTGTTAGTTTTTCTTGCTGAAAGAAGTGTTTGGGTTTGAGTAATTTTAAACATTTGAGAGAATTTAATCTTGCAGAAGTAAATATTAAAGCAGTCTTTGAGTAAAAGTGCAAAAAATCAATTTTATAAAGTTTTTGATTCTGTAAAGTCTGGTTTGCTTTTTGTCACTCTTTTTATTTAATTAATTTTAAAAGAAAAATTTGGAAAATTGGTGCAAACTTGCTTTGTTTGGGGTTGGTCTGCATTTTTCAGGAAGAAAGGACCAAAAAAATTTGTCACTACTGGTTGTGAAAAACTCACAGTCCCTGTGGTCTCTGTGTGTATTCCAGTGTAACTGTAGTAAAACACCCTCTTCATAACATTCGAATCTTAAATTTTTTCCTCCCTTTTTGGAGACATTTGATACGTGTATGGCTGTGTCTGTTCAAACCATTGGCAATGATGTGGTGATTTCTCCTCTTCTTTTCTCAGTGCCAGCGCTAAGGCTGCCCCTCTGAACATTAACAAAGTCTCCAACAGCTTACTGAATTTTGGCCGAAAGCTCATTGCTCCAGCTATGGCTTCAGGTGGGGCAGTGGGCACTCCTGCCGGGGGGAGCAGCTTTCCTCCCACTTCCATGCCCATCAGGAGCACAGTGGAAGCCCACCAGCACCACCAGCACCACCAGTCGCAGCAGCAGAGGATGATGAAGTCCGAAAGCATGCCAGTTCAGCTGGGCAAAGGTAAAGGAGAAACGTGTGGCAGTGCCATGACAGAGGGAAGCTTTGTCAGGCATCTTAAGGCCTGAAGAAAGTCTTTTTATTGATTTTTATATCAGCGTGTGCATATTTGGAGGAAATGGCCCCAAAAAAAGTATTTTGTTAGGCAGGATACCTGTGCCAAGTACAACAGTACATTTGCAGTGTAATACAGAATTAGATGCTATCTTGAAAGCATGCAAATACTGTAAGATGTTTTAAACCTTTAAAAAAATATTAACCAGAAAGTGCATCAGACATACCAACAACCTACATTGTTAGCGTAAGCGTGAACCAATTAATTTTTTTGGTTTTTCAAATGCAACCTATTTTTAACTGTCAGACTAATTTAATAAATTTTTTTTTCAGGTTATTGGCACAAATCCCATGCATAAAAATATTAGCTAAACAAAAGTGAAGGAAGTAAGGTCAATTCCATAGTAATTCTTAATAAACAAATTCTTACTCCCGTTAGAATGTGTGGAGCTTATTTAAGAAGTTATTTGAACGATAACATGAATTTGTCTTTTAATAATTTGTGATGGCCCTCTGCACTTTACTTAGTAAATGCTGCTTCTTTTTCTTGAGCCTTTCTTTTTATTTTTCTTGGGGGCAGCTTATTCAAACCACAAACTCACAAGCTCATCTTTGGTAGTTGTTTCCTATACTCTGCCATTCTCAAGGTATGTTACTGCTTTTCATCTTCAGCCAGCCTGTGGCAGTATGTGCTTTACAAGGAGTATGTAGAGCACAACAGTACCTGCTGCTTCCAGCAACTCACCCCAAGTCATGGTTATGAGTTTGAGAGCTGCTGCTGGTTGCCCTGAACCGTTACATAGGATTGCACCTTTTTTTTTTTTTTTTCAGTGGATTTAAAAATGTAAGAGAAGGGAAATAACACTTTGTAGCTGAAGTTGGTGTTCTTTGTCTTTCCTCTGGCAGCCATGTGGTCCAAAGTTAGTCCTTCCATGATGCACTGCATCCCCAGCAGACACTGAGGGAGCAGACATAAAAGGTACAGCCGTTCCCTTGAAGCAGACAGATATACAGGCACCTCTGTGAGGACCACTGCAGCTGCTTGGCAAAATCCAGAGATGCAGCTTCTGTCAGAATCATAGAATAATCTCAGAAATTGCTCCAGCAAGGGTTTTACAGCGCAGATGTGAAACTGAAGTGCAGTGAATCTTTGATGCAAATCCTGTTCACAACAATGGAGGTAAAATTAGGCGTAGAACAAAATTATTTCCACAGTTTTGGAGAGACCTTTTGTGTGCTTTTTTAAATATGTTTTCCATAGTTCCCTTATCAAATTATTCTTTTTTTCCATTTTGAGTTGAAAAATGGTCCTCAAGTGGTTATTTTCTTTCCCTGTTTAATATAATAAAAGTGTACAATTTGAAGCAACTTCTATAGGTGGAATCAATTGTAGCTTAATCTTAATCTGGCTGATCAGGGATGACCCTTTTTATACTTGTATGTGCCAATTAATATGTTGCATCATTAGGAAATGCACCTGACACTTTCCATACAAGAATCAGAATAAGAAATTGTAGTTATGTTTGGTCATTGTCATGTACAAGCCATGCACATATTTCTTTATAAACAGGAATATGAAGATTTGATGAAGTTACTAAGAATTTATGATGTAAGGCACAAAGCATTTTCATGGTAAGAGGAGATAAAACATACTGAAACACTTCAGTAGCTGCAGCTCCCTCTCATCATACTCTGTCTATCCATATTTGACACAACCCTTGCAGAAGTAATTTAAGGGCAACAAAATGTAAATATGCTTTTTCTTTAATAGGTTGAGATGACAGTGAGTTTTGTTTTACGTATTTGTGCCATGCTTGTTGTTCCAGACCTGTACAGTTATTAGTATTTTGCCTGTAGTTGGACAAAAATTTTAGATGGCTGGAAACTGTGTTTGCAAATGCCATAATTTATATTTTTAAAGAGACACACAAAATGACAAAGGAAATGTAGTCTTTTAGAGGCTGCCCAGTGAATTCTCTCTGAATTAAGTTTAAATTTAGGGATAGTTTAGCAAAAAAAAAAAAAATCCATATTTGCAATGGCACTGTGGCAGAGACAGGCTAAAAAGCCTTTTGAAGCGTGATGCAGATGCTGAATATACAGCTCAGCACCATATCCATCACACCTTAAATGCAAAAATAGGTCTTTTCAGTTCTGTGGAGAAGACCAGTATCACCACCTAAAGAAAGAGATGTACAGCATCTCCAGTGAATGAGTGCACTTCCCACAGCTACAAGAAGCTGCTGGTACTTCCATCCCAGGCATTAAGATTAAGGATTTAGAAACTCTCATTCCACCTGTGTTTGAGCTGAACTTTTTACATGCCTTTTTAGCTTCTGCTTTTTTTCTAGCACTGGATTCTGTTGTAGCTTTTGAGTATGTAAATGCTATTTGGCATGGTTTGGAAAAGTAAGGTTCCCAAGTTACTAACTAGCTGTCACTAATTGTCTTATGTTCTTGTTCTTTGCTGTGTTTTCAGCTCTACTCAACCTCCCGGAGCTTGGTTATTTAGCTGAAGTAGGCATTTGATAGACATTTGCATTTCCAGTTGATCTAACACTCACAGATGCTCAGTTGGACAGTATAACAGGTGGAAGTGCTGTAAATCTAAGAGGAATCAAGCCATAAGTCATCCATTTTTTCTCATATTGTATTGGTCCTTTTAGGTTTTGAATGTTCAAGTAGTGCTGATAATTTATATTAATATGTAGAGAGTTATAAATTTGAAGAGATTAAATTAATTGATCTTTTTTTTTTTAAGTGTGAAGAAGTCCTTGGTAACAAAATATCTTGCAGGACTGGCAAAATTATTTTATCCCAGTTTTAACAGCTCTGTTTAGACAGAGTTACCACTCACAAACCCGCAGCAGTGACAGGTATCATTCGTGCTGCTGTACCCCAGATGAGGGATGGTTGGTTTACATAATCAGTTGAAATTATTTCTCATTACAAACTTTTGATACTTGCTGAATTTCTATCAGAAAAAAAATGGATATAATTTAAATAATGTAAATGAAAAACAGGAGACTGAGAGAAAAAAAATCACATAATTGCAAGCCTGTAATTCTAGATGAGTCTTCAGCATTACAAATCACAGTTACACGAAGTATTCAGACACCTAATTGGAAATTCAGTTCCTCCTAATAATGTATTAATCCCATTCAGCCTGTCCTCAGCACAGAAGAAGATCGGGTATCATTGCTGATTACTTATGCAAGGTAGCCTGCTAACAGAAAAGGAATTAAAATATTCTTTTGATCATGCACAGTGAAGTAATTCATTGGCACAAAAGTCGAATTCAAATCTTGACTTCATTGGATTATCAGCTGAATTTGTTATTTGGAAAGACAAAAATATTGATAATGGAAAACTGTGGGAAAAAAAGCAGAATTGTTACCCTTTGTGTTCCGCTGGATGCTTGATCATTCAGAAACTGGACACTCTTTAATTACCAAATGGCAATGTATTGCCAGAAAAAAAAGCATTTCTTTTTCACTTCTTCCCTGATAGTGCCAGATACAGTTTTTCTTCTAGGTCCTTTCATGATGAAACCCAAGAGGCTTTTGATTTGAGTGAAGTTTTATCACAAGATAGACGACCAGTTTGAAGATGAAGTTCTGCCAAAACTGTTATCAGCAATTTAAAGAGTGACCAGGCTACTGCTTGTTTTTATGAGTTGATACTACTGTGGTATTTGTTGTAACACAGACAGAACTTCCGTGGTCAACAAATATGCCCTAAACACATGATCTCCCTATTTAGAATTATTTATGAACTGTCTTTAGAAAATGAGTATGCTTTTTTAGAAGGATAAGGAAATTATCCGTACTGATAGTAGAACCGAGTAAAAATTACAGGAATAAAAACCCAGATTGACAAATGCAATGTTTTCCATTTTTAAAAACATATAAATATACATCTTCTTAGGAAATTATGAAATTTTGTTGGCAATAAGGATACAAATTCTGGGCTCCTTAGTACAAGAGAGACATGGAGCTCATGGAGCAAGTCCAGTGGGGGGCTACAAAGAGAACATTTGGAAACTGGAACACTTCCCTTACAAGGAAAGGCTGAGGGAGCTGAAACTGTTTAGCCTGGAGAAGAGTAGAGAGGGGACCTCATCAATGTGTATTAAGTATCTGAAGGGACAGTGCCAGGTGGATGGAGACAGGCTCTGCTTGGTGCCAAGCAATAGGACACGAGGCAATGGGCAGAAACTGATGCACAGGAAGTTCCACCTGAACACAAGGACGAACTTCTTTACTGGGAGGGTGACAAACACTATGACAGATGGCTCGGAGAGGTTGTGGAGTCTCCCTCACTGGAGATGCTCAAAAGACGTAATCCTGGGTAATGTGCTCTGGGGGACCCAGCTTGAGCAGGGGGCTTGGACCAGGTGACATCCACCGGTCCCTTCCAACCTCCGCCATTCTCTCTGATGGTCCCAAATAGCAAAATGACCCCGTCAGCCTTCAAGTACCAGCAACAAAGTGGCTTTGATTGTTTGTTCAAAGCAGGGTCCTCCGGCTGCACCCCCCGAAGCTGCGGCTCTCCCGCTAACGCTGTTCTTTGTTTGCCAGGCGAGGCGGGCGAGGCGGCGCCGCCGGGGCCGGCGCAGCAGCTCCCCCCGGCCCTCACAGGTAGGCCCCGGGGCGCCGCGGCGGCCGCGATCACTGCCATTGTCCGTCCACCGAGCGGCACTGTTGTGTAGGGAGAGAGCGGCGGCTCCGCTGCATCCTCCCCGGCCCGCTGCGTGCCTGTGTGTGTGTCCCTGCACTTCCATCCGCTGCGCGCCAGCATCTGTCTGCATTACAAACCTGTCTGTGCTTGTACTTTGTAGCCCATTTCACACTCTGGCATGGGGGACGATTCCACCATCAGTGTCCCTTTCAGCTGCATTACATCCCTCTTGTTATATTTGAGGCGGGTATTTTGAGCCGTGCATCTACTTTAATGCACTTGTCCGACGAGGAGCTTACATGCCTTGGTTGAAATAAAAAGCATATGGATTTGTGCGATGAGAGGGTTTGAATGGATTTCAAAAGTACTGGAAGCCTTTGTTCCAAATTCACTGTAGGAGGAAAAGGGAAACTAATTTATCTGAAAAGTTCTATAATACTCATCTCATTCTTTTTGCAAATTTTAATACCCTACATCCTGACTATGGCAAATAGATGAGCTGATCTGAATGGTTTTGAATTATATATAGTGCCGCACTTATGTTCTTGGTATTCTTGTCCTTGCTCTCCTTATAACTATGAAAGCTATTCTTTTTCTCTGTAGGGACCAAATAGAATGAGTCATCAGTTTCTTATATGCCTTTTGTGCATCTTCCTTTCATTTTTTCATATAGTTTAGTAGGGACCTCCAAAGTTCATGGTTATCTCCCCCATAACTTACTCAAACTTAGTAAGTCCTGAAGCCCACTTTCATTGCAAGTCTTCTCCACGCCTCTCAACACCTTTAACTGGATTATAAGGTCTTATTACTGATCACATTACATTTAAATTTTCCTTCTTTTCTCTCCACCCACTGCCCTTCAATACCAACAGATCTGTCCCTTTTGCCACTACCACTCTGTAGTTTTCCAAATGGTTTTGAGGCAGAGCATTTGTGACTCTGGAGTCATCCCCAGGATCATTAGCAACTGGCAAGTAGTGAGCCACTTAGAAGCCAGCACATGGATGTAACCTTGCCTCTTTTTGCCTCAGAAATGGATGTATTTTTAGTGTATGAAATCCTATGCATCATTACTGTGAACTATTTATGCATTTTAGCGTGCACGTATATATTTTTGAGACATCCTACACAGTAAAGTGTTCTAACTACTGCGTATGTCAGGGATCCTTAGATATTTGTTCTGTGTGTTTCATAAGCACATATTTGATTTCCATACTTTTGGGGTTTCTTCAGCCTGTTTTGTATAGGTATTAGGACCTTCTGGTATATGCTCAGAGATGTTCAGAGATTAGATTTCTCTAATCTTCTTTTAAGGAGGCATAATGTATTTATCTGAGATTAACAAAATGAGCAGATTTTTTTTTTCTTTTGAGCAATAATCCTAAATTAGGAACTCTATGAAATTACCTTCTTGTGAAGCTGTTGAGTGAGAAGAATGTACCATGCTGCTTATTAAGAAAGATGTAGGATCAGTAAGACATACAATAGAGAAGGTACAAATGGCATTTGTGTCATTCTCTGAAGATCCTGAAATCTCTGCATTGGTGCTACAGTGTTATTTCCGGAGTTAAGTGAGGACTGTTAATGCCTCAGAAGTCGGTGCATACATAATACATCTGAGGGACTTCAGAAGCAACATGTTGATTCAGTTAAATGTTCTTACAGCAACTTCACTTAAGAGTTGGACTCGGTGATCCTTGTGGGTCCCTTCCAACTCAGAATATTCTGTGATTCATTAAACAGAATTCTGTGTTGGGGAAATCATAGATGACGTTTTTGGTTTTGGTTTTTTTGAATTAAGGAAAACAGCTTTCTTATTTACAGTTGTAAAAATGTTGACTCCTCTAGAAATTAGAAAAGCCAATCACAATCCAAGAATTCTACTTTATGACTTGCAACGCACTGTAATTATTCATAACTGCTGTTCTTGCTTAATTCTTAATCACATCCTCCAATAATCCATGTCCCAGCACTGTTCATGGGATCGGATTCAGAATAAAAAATTAGTATTTCCTAATGATAACTTCCCCGTATTTTCTTATTCATGCAGAAGAATCAGGTGCATCCTAACCTTTCTTTTTACTTGGGTATAAAACATACAGGTATAGTATTTTTATGACCTCTGGTTCTGTATCTTGTATTGCTCTTATTTTTCACATTTATTATATATATTTTTAGGCCATAAAGCCAGATTGTTCAAAGCTCTTGCTGTTATTTGAGCAAATTCCCTTTTAGGACAGTTGTGTGTTCCATCCACAAAATCTGGTTTGGTTATGTAAGTAGTTGCATATTTTGTCCCTCTAAACTGTGACCCATCTTTTGAAGTGTAGCTGTTTGCAGTGGCCATGAGGACAGTTCTCTGTGTTTTCAATTTCCTATTATATTTTGGACATTTTTTTTGTTAGAGCTGAAAGACAGAATTTAGGAAAAAATCTTTACAGATAATTTTTTCCATTGTTTTACCAAACTGTATTATTTCATGTGTTTGGATTCCTAAAATATATTTAAGATATCCTTCTTTCAATATTATCTGTGAGCTTTTATCACATAATCTGCTTATTTGCAAGTTGAAGTGCATTAACTGCAGGCCATGCAGTGAAGAGTATGTGGAAAATACACATTGCTCATTTTTTAACTGTTTTTTGGATTTTTTTAGTCTTGATCCTATGTGGAAGATATCTTCTTCTTACTAGGTTTGGAAAGAGAGGCTGTTTAGTCTGATTTATACATAATAAATATTTTTTCATTAACTTTACTCTGTCCACTGAATAGATTTTTTTGTGTGTGTGTTTAGCGTTTTTATTGGCTGCTCTGACTAAGCTGTATGAATTGCTTTTATAAATGCTTTATTTGCTAAAATATGTGATTCCATCTGTTCCAAGACTATTTTTAGTTTACCTGCTGCAGAACCACACTTCCATTATAAATTGCCACTATGAAATGCATAAAAAGTCTCCTTCTTACATAAAGGCAACTGTAAGGATAATGGTGTTGCCAAGTGACATGGTTTTATCCTAAAATTAGAAATCTTCTAAAAACTTCCTTGTGACTGGATTATTTCTGCTGTTTGTAATGCAGTGTTTTCTCCTTTTGCATCTGTAGAACTAGTTACAAAATACCTGATTAATGCATATCCCATTTCTTTATAAAATGTGAAGGCAAAAGTTGAGTTCAGCCTCCATCTCCTGCACTTTTAAGGAAGCTGTTCAGGCTAAGTGGTAGGTAGTAAGTGACTGGAGGAGGGCTGGGAAGAAGCAGAAAAATGCAGTTGAATGAACTTGGTGGGAAGTAAAGAATATATAAAGAAAGAAGAATAAGGAAGTTGCAGAAGAAGAGGCAATGTGGAGGGATCAGAAGAAGAGGAGGGGGCAGACAGGAAGGTCCACAGAAGCATGAGAAGCAGGACAAAAAAATAGGAGCATCATAAGGAAAGGTGATCAGAATAAGGCAACAAAGAATGAAGGAGAAGGTGGGAAGCAGTTTATATGACAGTTTTCTTCTAGAAAATGTTGAGAATATTAAACCCAGATCCTTTCTTGGGTTTTGTCCTTTCTAGTCTGTTGTGATAAATATGTGATGTTTTATTCTTTGCTGGTTCAATCTCTGCACTTAACAGTCTTTTTCAAAGAGGATATTTCAAATAAATCTGTATTTATTCCCTCAGGAAAATGTGAATGGTTTAGTTGCAGAGGATCATACTTGATGCTTTAGATGGTAGCATGAAAGCATACCAGAAACAAAGGAAAGGAGAAAGGGAGAACATAAACAGATTCACCAGAATAGCTGTCAAACCAGAGACAGTAAGAATTCTTGAGCATTAGTTTTTTGTGGTATTTAACTTTTCTCCAGAATGGAAAACTCTAGAATTTCATTGAATCACTCTAGCTTGACTTCATCATACACACGATAGAAAGATTTTTTTAAAACTAGCATCTGTCCTAGAGCAAAATTTTCTTAATGAAAGTTAATGAAAACTGACACACTGGTTTCTGTTTTTTTCTTCTAATGGAAACAAAAATTTAATTTGAATATTTAAAAATAATTTGTGGGCCTCAATTGGAAGAAATGGTCCTTCTCAAAGATTGCGTGACTGCATACATTGTCATGGTGAACCACCCGAGGCTTCTACTCGGATGTTTTTGCTATGTCAATGAACAATCCTAGATTCTTTTTAAAAACTCCATGAAATGTCAATAAGTAACTATTGAGTAAACTTCATCAAAATGTCTTCTAGGTGGACATGGCCTTAAAATTTGATGCGTGAGAGCTTACATTCTTTCCCAAACGTGATTTACTTTTTCCTGCTGTAGATCTTCAGTGTCCAGCCATTATTGGAATGTGAAGTTCTTGTTCATAGCCTTCTTTGCCAAGTTTCACAGTTTATTTGTTGAGAGAAAAAAACTATTTCCATTGTAGTGTTGATGAGATCAGACTTTTTTTTACTATGAGATGGTACTTTGCTCATGCTGCAGGAAGGTCTTTGGTGTGTGGATATAATAGGGATATATGCTGAGATGGTATTTTTATATATATGTATGTATATATATATAATGTAACGCATATATACATATATATGCATTTCTATATATACACACACACATATATATGCTTGATAGTGTGTGTTTGTGTATGTATCTGTGTATACACTGAGATTTTGTAGTCTTCTCTCATACAAAAATTAAAGTTCCATGTGAGAACAGTCCTTCAGTCTCTCAGTGCATGCTAACACACTTCAACATTTCATTCTGTGTTGTCTCTGAATCTTGGTGAATGTCAGTTAAGACAAGGAAATATTTGCAGGGAAAAGAGATTAACTCTTTTTATTATTTTATACTTGCTTTACAGGCCAAAGTTCAAAAAACATCAGTTCATCTCCAAGCATAGAGAGCTTGTCTGGAGGACGTGAATTTACAGGATCTCCACCTTTGTCTGCATCAAAAAAGGATTCCTTTTTCAGCACCATCTCCCGCTCTCGTTCCCAAAGCAAAACTATGAGCAGAAAAGAGTCGGTGGGTTCTTTTAATTTTTTTAACCTATTTTAATGCCATCACTTCTTAGAGACACTTCATCACTTGTTAGAGATACTCATTTCTCCCATGCACTGAGCACTTGCACTTGGAAGTGTTTGCCTAAACACACATTAATGGCCAAAGCAGAAATAAGCTATTTCAACCATTTTTGTTGAGTGACATCTCCATTATGGCTTCCATCCCATAATCCTACCTGAAATTAAACTGTGAAAGCACCTGTTTGTTGCCTCTGAGAAAGAGGAGAGAAGTCCTGTAAGTTTATTTGCTTTGTTAGACTTTTACTTTAGTAGTCCTGAAGTTAATAAACAGTTCAGTGGGAAGCTTGAATGCTCAGCAGATCCAAACATGTCCATCTGTTGTCCCTGAAATTCCTTAATACATCAGAGGGTTCCCAGTGTCTATAGCATCTGTAGTCTGCAGTCACAGTTCTATTTCTTGCACAGCTCTGACCTTCCATTTGGTCACAAGAAGCTAATATTTAAACAGGTTGTTCTCATCCAAGAAAATCAGCTCTTATCATGGGTATGTTCCAAAGAAATTCTCATCCCAGCAAAGATATTTTAGGAGCACGACTTTGATAAACATCATATGCCATGGAGCACAAGGATTCCTGTTTTTTCTGTAGACACATTTCCCGTTGTCTCTCTTTGCTGATTAGAAAACTGTTATGTTGTAGATGAAACAAGTTGTATTTTATGTAAGGTGAAGGCATGGTGGTTCTCTCCATTCTTTTTTCATAAATGCCTGCTCATATAACTTCCTATTGATTTCAATAAATAGGAATTGTAATAGCCAAATTTCAATGTTGCAGCATTCTTCAGGTGTTTAGAGCTAAACACTGCACAGAAATTTAATCTGAACATCTAAGCATTTTTTATTTTAAACAGCAGGATCTTTATTAGTAGTCACATCATGTTTTCAAGTTGATATTCAAAATGTTCTAATGAAATGCACAACTATGTGCAACTTTGTTCAGTTTTTGTTCATGAATGAGAGTGTTTAATTCTTGTTCCAAATGTTTTAATGTTGTCTAAAGACAAGCTGTGTTTTGTGGTTAGTCAGCACGAAGCTATAATTTTGGTTTGTGACCATTTTAAACATGTTGAATTTAATTTAAAGCTAAAACAACAACTTAATATCTCTCTGCTTGTCCACACGAGTTGAAGAAACATAAATATACCAGTATTCAACTTTTCTTTTTATGTGATTAATGAGATCTGTATCCAGCTTTCGTTTGCAACTTTTATCCAGGCCAGAACTTGGTCTTCTCCTTAGTTCTCTAATAGGAGACAGGAGATTTTGCCATTATAATATTAATACTCAATTAAAATCCATTAATGATCATTGTGATTTTCAGGTAAATAATTTCCCAAAATCAGAATATTAATGTTTTCATCAAGAATATTGGACAAAAAAATACTCATTGGAACAGATTTGTTGTCCTTATGATAATTTTCAGTGGATTAGTAATCGTGATAAACAGGGCATACATTTTCAAAAGAATTCTTTGAACTGTAATATGTAATTTATATTGAAGCATTTTATGATTAAATAGCTAGAAAAGGGTTCAGGCTACCAAAATCTGTTTTCTGGTGTTCAGTTTTTGACTGACCTTTAATACAGGAAAATTGAATTTGTAGCAGATCCAAGAGGAAAAGGTTTGTTTAAGTCTGTTCTCTGTTGCTCAAGACAGTGTTTGGTTTTTGTTTTCCTGTAAATTTCATGATACCTTGTTTTCCATGTAGAGTAGAAAATCCCATAGTCCTTCTTGAAATCCCAAAATAGCTGCATCAGAATTCTCTAGTCTTACAGTTGCTTCATTTACAGCTGTTTTTTGGAGGCAGAATGCTTGAAAACATAATGTTTCACATCTTCGATTTAGCAAATTGAACTGGTTTACATTTTTAATCTAATAATTATACAGATTATGTTGTTAGGTATTGGGGAAATTACCTTTGTTGGAATATTGCCATGCATCAATTTCTTTATAAAAAGATGTTTTTAAATCAGTTAACTCTTGGTGCAACAGGTAGAAGAGGATCCGTTTTCTCTTCATCCCTGTGTTTCTAATTAATGCCCTTTCCAAGCAAAGTGAAAATGCAGTACATACATAAAAACACATTCTTCAGCATGGAGTTTAAAAAAGTGATTTTCACAGATCAGAGGGCATTACTGTAACAGTGTCATGGGATGAACAGGAATGTCATTGTCGTGGATCACACCTGAAGTATTGTGACCAGTGGTGGGCTCCCCATTACAAGAGAGACATGGACATACTGGAAAAAGTCCAGCAAAAGACCATAAAGTTGATGAAAGAACTGGAGCATCTCTCCTACCAGGAAAGCCTGAGAGAGCTGGGAATGTTCAGCCTAGAAAAGAGAAGGCTCAGAGGAGATCTCATCAATGTGTACTGAAGGGAGGACAGAGCCAGGTTCTCAGTGGTGCCCAGTGACAAGACCAGAGGCAATGGGCACAAACAGAAACACAGGAGGCTTTGTATGAACATCGGGAAACATTTTTTGGTCTGAGAGTGACTGAGCACTGGCACAGGTTGCCCAGGCAGGTTGTGGATTCTCCATCCTTGGAGATAGAAGCCATCTGGACATAATCCTGAGCAGCCACCCATGTTAGGTGGCCCTTCTTGAGCGGGCAGTTGGGCAAGATGAGCTTCTGAGGTCCCTTCTGGGATTCTGTGAGAGGATAAGCTTAAATGTGACATGTCTAAATTCTTTCTTTCCTAAAGCCAGTCCAACAAGTTGGACTTTCTCTGTGAGAGTTGTGATCAAAATTGATATTTAACTTGATTCATTGCCTCCAGGAATAGGATGTGTCCATTTCTCATACTAACAACTTCTTAAGGTAGTAGCATTTGGGTCATATTATTCTTCTACATATTTTTTCCCCTCAAATGCAAAGACCAGTGGAGTGACTTTTTTACTTCTGTTGTCAGAAACAGATGTCCCCTCTTATTTAGTTAAGGAAATGAATCTACAGCCTAAGGGCTGAATGCACAATATCAGATCATGTTTTGGCAGCCCATGGCATCCTGGTGTTTTTCACATTACTGTTGAGTGACACTCAGCTCTGTGTTAACATGAGGTCCACCAAATGTGTTTGAAAGTGTTTTGTGCTCAGCACTGAGATGGTGCCCTACCCCTTTGTATCCCTTATGGCTTTCTGACAGGAATAACTTAAGTTGCAGTTTCTGGAGCTGTCTTCCCATAAATAAGCACAGGAGTTTTTAATCTGTAATGCACTCTAGTGCCTGCTATCTTCTGGCTGGGTCAGCCTTGCTGGAATAAAGTCCTAGAAAATTTCATTTCATAGCATGCCTACTGCCCTCTCCTCTTCCACGGAATTGGGAAATAAGGGTGCATTTGTGGTCCATTTATTTCTCATTATGTTTTGTTTACATCTCCATCAACCATTGAAGACAGTCTACCCCACTCTTTAACAAATAGCAAAGTTGCTTAGACGTTGATTCTGGCAAGTATGGTTGGCTGGTCCCAGTTTCTGGCTGAATATTCTGTAAATAGCTTTCAGGCATAGAGATGTGCCAGAGAGGAAACTTTTGAGCCAAACAATACAAACATTTTTAAAACTTCCACTAAAAGAACCCCACAGGAAAAGATGGGTTTGACTGAAAAGAAAGTTTTAATTTGGAGAAACTGTATTTTTATAAGTAAATTTCTACATAAAAGGTTTCAAGTTAAGAAAAATCAAGTTATCCATTTGGAAAATACTCTAGTTAAAAATTTTCCAAGAAGGAAGCATTTCTAAGGAAAATCTGTAGCAGTTTATTTTCTTTACTAAAATAATTGACAAACATGGCCAATCAGAATCCTCATTTCTTAGCAAGAATATCCTGAACAAAAGTGTCATGCATCATGCTGGTTTTGATTGCACAGACTTTTTAATTAAATCAAATTTGACAACATATGCTATTGTCCCCACAAGCATGTATAAACAACTGTTACTGTCTGTGATTTACGTAGCTAGTCTGACTGATTTGGAGTTAGTTATGAGTACCCCCACAGGTTAGAAAATTAATGTATGCCATTATTTTCAATTAAATAGGCAGGCATCTGCTTTACTGATCTAGGAACCTGATTTTAAGCATTAAACGTGACAGTTCTGCTCAAGGAGAAGTGGTATACAAAACCCAAAGAGGTAATAAAATAAATACTCGACAACCACACCAAAAAAATCATGTGTGCAAAAATTCCTTTAAAAAAGAACATGCATTTTGTACATGGTACACATCTTGGAGTTGGTTTTTATTCCCATAGATGTTTTCCCTGACTGTTATTATTAAAATCTCTTTAAAATGTTTTAAGCAAAATGCTTGTCAGTTCATACTTACCAATGCCAAACATTTATTTGGAAATACAAATGCAGTGATGAAATGTCCTCTTTTAGTTAGGCATCATAAAATGTGCCCAGAATAAGTTAGTGTCTGTGTACAGCAGCCAATTCTTTGATCAGTGTGTTGGATTTTTTAGGCCTAAAATTAAAGACCTTGATTATTCTCACTTCCATTAAGTTAAACAAACTTTAGTGCCTTAATGTTTGACTGCAGTTAATACTGGAGGACATATGTCTTCCTTATTCTGATGTGATAGGACAATTCAGACACCTGAAAAGTGCAATTTATTTAGTACTTCAGTACTTGTCTAATTTTAGGGTTAGATAAATAGAATATTAAATTTCAGATGCTGACAGGTCACATGAACAGAGTTAGTAGAAAAACCTCTGAGATATTTGGGAAGTGTGATTCTTTTCTTGGTTGCCTTCCTTAGGCTCACACAACATCCTGTAACTCAAATGAAAGAGCTGAAAACAGTACAAGAAAAAATAAGTTGCCTTTTATAGTTTTTATTAGAAATACTTGCAAGTTTCTTATAATTTAGTAAAACGACAGCTGTATGCATGAGTGGCAGCTTTGAATCCTAAAGCTCCTTATCTTTTTTGGAGTGATT